GTGCCGGCAAAGCAAGAATTACGATCTGCAATCTGTTTGTAGTGTAGTATAGGCCAATGATTACTTGAGTATTACTGTGATCATTGCAGGACGATTGTTATTTCTTAAATTTGTATTTCGTATTTCCTGCTCCTGTCCACGTGACGAATCGCTGGCCTTGTAAGCCGCGCGCATGCTCACGTGTTTCTTGCCTTTCTTTCTCCTCTCCTCTATGACAAGTTTTACTTTCGATATGAGCAATTCATGTGCCTGGTGAAACCGGAGAATGGGAATCTTGTCTTAGGAAAGTGAATCCTACATTGGTGGCAGCGGTAAACGCTCTCGATCTCGTCTCCTGAGCTGCGGATCGTCTCCGAAGAAGCCTTGACACTCTGGGCCTCGCAAGTCACCCATTCTTCCTCCGAGATGTCGTAGATTTACCTGTCTTCTTTATCAAACTAACTTCAATGATGTTCCTCCGGAGAGACTGGAGCTTCCGATGTCATCTCCAGTCGTCTTATCGCCACAGTTTGGTCCGTCGTCATCGTCCGTGATAAATTGTCTCTCATCAGTCGTCGTCATTGAGTTGGTCCCGGACACGACGTAAACTGTGCCCAGAAGAAAAAACTAAAAAAGAAAGGACGGAAGGTGAAGACAAGAGGCGCAGTGTGAGGATGTCGACGCTGAGCAGCGCTCCTTGAGATGGCGGATGGCATGGCAGACGGCGTGAGGAGTTTCGTTGGTGAGAGGGTACGTGTGTTGTGAACGTGATGAGTATGTGAGTTTTGTATTTTCTGTTCTCCCAACATTTTGTTCTTTATTACTGCTCTCCTCGAGGGTAAAGAGGCGCCTACACAGCGCGTGTGTTCTGTTCGTTTTTTGATTTGCTCTTCTATGAGGAAAACTAGAGGCCCCACAGAGCCAGTGGATTCTGTTCTTTTTGTTATTCTTATGATTTGTGCTGTCACATTTTAGAATTTTTGCGTGATTGTGAGGTGGTGTGTTGAGTGAAGTAGTTTTTGAGGCTATCAGTTCGTACACATGTGACAGCGATCGTGGCTGGTGTTCTGGGTGGGTGGACAGAGTTTTTTTAATAATCTGCAGTCCAGTTCTCGGTGTGACTGGTGTGGTATGATTGAGTAATTATTTGTGTGATCTTTTCCTCTTTTTAATTTGTTTTATGATTCTACTCTTGGGAGGGAGTTATGTTGTACAAGTAGCATGTTATTTTGTGTACGTCATGTTGGTGCATGCGCGTGTTGCTGTAGTGAAATTAAATTATTTCATCATTTCTGGTCTGGTCCATATACTATTGTGCGCGTTCATGGTCCGACATCATACACGTTAGTGCTGAATGGAGTTGAACGTACTGTTCACTTCAGTCGCTTGAAGCCAGTTACTTCATCGTGCCCAGTTGCTTTTAATACCGTCGTCTGTCAATGATCTCCCTGACCCAGTGAGTTTGTCAGCTAATGACTTTGTTCCTGTTGTGCCACATGATGCCGATGACTCTGTGCCGAGTACGCCTCCGTTGTCGCCGCCTGTTGACGTATCACCTCTACTTCCTCCTGTTGCTACTCCAGTATTATGGCGTCGATCAGGCCGGATCCGCACTGCTCCTGTGAGATTTGGTGACTATGTTTTGTAGTTAAGTCATTGTATACCCGTGATTTTTTCTATATTATAAATTTATTTGTTTTGCCCTTGATAAATATGGTGGTAAAGACACACTTGGCAATATGGCGGTGAACACACGCCTGCCCACACACGCTCTCTAAGCTGCACAGTTCTGGCACAGAGCTCTCCTTCTCACCGCCACCACCATCAGTTCGCGCCTGGCCTCGTCGATGGATGGTTTTTGCCCTGCTTGCCTATTATTCACGAGGTCGTGAATGTAGAGAGGAGGGGAATTTTGTAGTACAGGCCAATGATTACTTGACTTTTACCGTAATCATTGCATGACGATTGTTATTTCTTACATTTGTATTTCGTATTTCCTGCTCCTGTCCACGTGACGAATCGCTGGCCTTGTAAGCTGCGCGCATGCCCATGTGTTTCTTGCCTTTCTTTCTCTTCTCCTCTATGACAAGTTTTACTATCGATATGAGCAATTTGAGTGCCTGGTGAAAGCTGAGAATGGGAATCTTGCCTTAGGAAATGCAAATCTACAGTGGTAATACTTGCAAGAATGTGCTGTACATGTATCGTATTTTCTCTCTTGCTCTTTCAGTTGCCGTCATGTTTCTAAAGAAAGGTTCAGTGACTGATTTGTTTCATACGAGACGAGTCAATGAGTTGGTCTGGCTTAGAATCTTTCGCTGTAGAAGAAATTTATTCGTATCTTTTCTGGAGAAATAATTGTATTCACTGGTTATAAACACAGGGTTAAAACAAACTCACAGAACAAATACCATCGGTCCCTTGGTGTTCGTCCTAAGGAGGTTTGATTGGATATCATTCATACTCACCAAAGTCACATGTATAATATTTTATTCCTGTAGCTATGCAGAAGACGTTACTTCAGTAACGTCTGGCGCTAGCCAGGGTCCACACAGCTTTAATTTGGTGTTTGTTTGTTTGTTTGTTTGTGTCACGCTTGGTGCTACACCGTATCTGTCCTGTACCGTACCATCAAACACGGCTGGCCACATACAGCTGGCCGCAATATTCAAATAGGGCTTTCAAACGCAAGATCGTAACGTGAAGCAACTTGGAAGAAGGAGTACGAATGCGAAGTGTATGGGGGAATGCATGTAGGATGATAGTGTGGGTTCGAATCCCTGGTTATGCCTAAAAAACTAGGAGAGTTGAAAAATGTATAACATCCCTATGCTTGCTTGCTGTCATCAAAGCGATAGACGGTGTCGTATTACCCTCGACCGTACCTGTCCCGTACTGTACCGAACCATCAAAGACGGCTCGCCACAATGCATATTCAAATAGGGCTTTGAAATGAAAAGATCATAACGCGAAGCAACTTGGGAGAATTAGTATGTGTGGGAAGTGTATCGGGGGATGCATGCAGGGCGATAATTAATTATAGGTTAGTGCATGGCAGGGAGGGCCTTATGGCTTGTTAGTGCCCGACAGGTTAGCCTGAGGGCCGTAGGCCCGAGGGCTACCCCGAAGGGCACAAACAAGCCATAAGACCCTCCCTGCCATGCACTAACTATTAATTTTTAGAACGAGGTTCCATGCGTTGTCTCACTTCCATCATGCTTGTGTACCATTATATTGGGTAGTTTTGTGGTTTGTGTGCAGAGAGACTTGGTGTGGTATGAAAGAATCATATTCTTCTGGTAAGTTATGGAAACTCAGCACCACTTAGGACTACTAAAACTAGAATAGAAGCAAATGAAATGCTGGGCTCTTATTGCGAGCTTCATTCTTATTCATAGCTTGTGGAGCTATTTAGGGGATTTGAGAGCCCCTTGTCGATACCTCTAATGACTAGGATCTTCGGTTTTTATAGGTTTCCGCAAGCTGTTGGCAAAGGAAATTCGTACAGATGAAAGAATACGGGAGGCAAAAACCGTGCACACTTCTGAAAGGCGTAGCTTTTAGGCTGTGTTTACATGAGGCGGTTCAACCCGGGTTGAGTTCGACCCGGGTCAGATTTCAACCCGCCATGTGCACAAAGTAAATGGCGCGTTTACATGACGCATTGCGCTTGACCCGGGTTGAAAATTCGCCCCGGGTTGGTTTCAACCCTCCCCCCAAGGGGAGGGTTGAAACCAACCCGGGTCAAGAAAATCGTACAAACGTACTTCTGTGCGTATCTCGCGCCAGGTTTGAACAGCACTGCACATGCAAATTTCGCGCGAACGGATTCATGTGACCATACAGGACTGTAGAAGTGGACCTTTGGCGGCATATCAGTATTTGACCCGGGTCAACTGTCTTCATGTAAATGCTCACTTCTTTTGTCTATCGTACAGACTTTCAACCCGGGCTGAACTCGACCCGGGTTGAAATTTCTCATGTAAACACGGCCTTTAATGGCTTAGTAGTACACCGTACATTTTATGCAGAGTTCATTGTCTGCACCGTACTATAATGCATACAGGGAGTTGTATGCACCAGTTTAGAGTATATTCAGCGGGCTTTAAACTAATCCAAGGCCCTCGACGCGTCATCAAGAGTAGTAAAATAACGATTGATCGGGCTTTAAACTCTGATAAGGCCCTTGGCGGGAATGTCACTGATTGGTCGTTTCCTGGACAACGAGACAGACCTCGTTCTAATGCGGGTTCGAATCCCAGGTTATGTCTTTAAAAAAAAGGAGAAATTTATAAGAATTTATAATATCCCTATGCCTTTTTTGTCTAGATCCTCAAGGCAAAATGCATAGCGTAGGGCCCTGAGCTTCCAAGCTCTCTCGTTATTTATATAGAGTGCCTTGTTTATCTCTCAGTACCTCCAACCATAGCCTTGCCCCTTATATCCTCAGGATCAGTGTAGTTGTTGGAACGAGGTGCCGGACTCAGCAATGTATTTGTTTACATTTTAATACATGTTTATTGTTCCTCCTTTGCTGTTTCGTTTTAGACAATCGTGGACTAACACTTTGAATTCATTGACTACTTCCAAAAGTTTTATCGACATCAACAGGATTACGATTTCAGTGCAATATGATGCAGGATGATCTCATCACGATAACCCATGACTACAATTATAAACACAGAATCAACAAAAACATCTGCGACGCACACATTATTATTATTATTTTTTTCTTATTTTGTTAGGGATTTCCCAACAGGCAATGTTGCCTTTGACCTGCCCCCCCCCCCCCCTCCCTTCCAACACCACCAAAAGTTGTTCTGACACAGCCGGCAGATTTCAGACTGAAGTGGCAATTGATAATGGCACGAACACACAGAGCAGCAATACCTATAGATACAGATGACCGTACATGATTGTTGACAGACTGAGGGAATGGATAAACCGGTACAGGTACATACAATACATACAGTACATACATAACTGTACATGTTGAACATGCACATTGTACTTTTACTTACTTGCATATGTAGCACCAATGAGGAAGGCTAGAAGAAAACTTAGCGATGGAGCCATTCTATCCGATGGCGCGAGAGATGGGAAGGAAGGCGGTTCAAGGAAGAAGACGCCGGCAACTTCAGCTTCTGCTGGTGGTGTTGCTGCTGCTGCTGCTGCTGCTACGAGTATAAAAATGAAACGGGACAAGGTAAAGTTCAGACTTTCGGTCAACGGAGTGGGGCCGTTCACACCCGTGCACGCGTGGTCAGTTTTCCCTTGGCCGCATGTTTGGTCATGAAGTTGTGGCGGCGCAATTATAAAAATTATCTGTACTGCATTTTTGTAGTGCATTCTGTACGATATTTTGCATTCCCCATGCACGATTTCCCGATGGGCACTGTCTGAAAATGCAAGTTGCGAAGCACTCGTACAACTAGGGTTCAGAGTTCTCGCCAAAGACAAGATCTGCGCATGCGCGTCTTATAGCCATGGGATTTTTCCCTTGACAAACGCCCTGAGGCCCACGGCCACGGCTTGCCAATTTTTTCCCGAGAGGTTCTTCCTTTCCCCCCTTTCTAGTGTACATAGTCGGGCTATACATAAAATGCGCGCCCAGCTAAATGCTCATGCATTGCACCGTACATTTATTGTAGTTCACATAATATAACGAGACTTCAGAGAGTCTAGCTAGTCAGTCGAATTCTTGCCCTAATGCTGGTCTCTCAATGATCTTTCCTCGTCTTGAAATATACTATCCGACTCCCAAGTAACTGGTGTCTCTGTGTTATCAGTGTGTGAATCTAACCTCCAACCATAAACCAACATTGGTTTAGACAACACCACGACCATAGTTTCCATAACAACTTTCCCATAACCGTGGTTTTACCCGTGTGTGTGTGAATAACCTATAATAGCCTGTCGGGAAGGATTGGTTGAGCTGTTATTCCCTCGACACGACATGCAGCAGTCGACGTTCAACGCCGACGGTACGGGACAGAGGGGATTCACACACACGGGTAAACCCGAGGTCACGGGACAAGGTAAAAGTTCAGACCTTCGGTCAACGGAGTGGGGCCGTTCACACCCGTGGTCAGTTTTGCCTTGGCCACACGTTTGGCCATGAACTTGTGGCGGGGCAACTAAAAAATAATCTGTACTGCATTTTTGTAGTACATTCTGTACTGTATCTTGCATTCGCCATGCACGATTTTCCGATGGGCACTACACTGTCTGAAAATGCAAGTTGCGATGCACTCGTACAACTAGGGTTCAGAGTTCTCGCCAAAGACAAGATCTACGCATGCGCGCCTTATAGCCATGGGATTTTTCCCTTGACAAGCGCTCTGAGGCCCACGGCCACGGCTTTGCCAATTTTTTCCGAGAGGTTCTTCCTTTCCCCAAGTTCCATAGTTTCCATAACAACTTTCCCATAACCGTGGTTTTACCCGTGTGTGTGTGTGAATCCCCTATTATAACACGGGTAAACCTGAGGTCACGGGACAAGGTAAAAGTTCAGACCTTCGGTCAACGGAGCGGGGCCGTTCACACCCGTGGTCAGTTTTGCCTTGGCCGCACGTTTGACCATGAACTTGTGGCGGGGCAACTAAAAAAATAATCTGTACTGCATTTTTGTAGTACATTCTGTACTGTATCTTGCATTCGCCATGCACGATTTTCCGATGGGCACTGTCTGAAAATGCAAATTGCGATGCACTCGTACAACTAGGGTTCAGAGTTCTCGCCAAAGACAAGATCTACGCATGCGCGTCTTATAGCCATGGGATTTTTCCCTTGACAAACGCCCTGAGGCCCACGGCTTTGCCAATTTTTTCCCGAGAGGTTCTTCCTTTCTCCCAGTACCATAGTTTCTATAACAACTTTCCCATAACCATGGTTTTAACCGTGCGTGTGAATCCCCTATAAATTATGCATTCCTCGGGTCTGTTGAGGCCAACCAGAAGTTCCTTTTTTGACCGTCTGGAGCTATCCCACCGAGGCTTCAGCTGACAAAATATTGGCGTCATGCAAGGTCGGCAAGGCCTGTTGAAGCGTGCCCATTTCGTAGGAATTGGATGAAATTACAGTCCGTTTCAAAAAGATTTGCAATCCTGGCGATCGCCCGCGGAGTTTGGCGTCTTACCGTATGAGCACTCGAGCGCTGCCTGGAAAAACTCACTTTGAACTCGAAGAAATATTCCGCCCGAAAGCAGGAAAAATGACAACTCACTCAGGTTGATACAGTCATGTACGTCTGGTTTACAACAAACGAGTTCTTCCTCGTATCGATAATGGAGTCAGAGAGGACATGTCGAAACGAAAGTGTTGTAAATGTTGACGAGCGGCGTGGGTTCCAATTCGTTTTGTGACCAAAATAGTTTCTTTGAGCTGCGATGCAATTTACTCACCGTGTGACGAAAACGACATCGACACGGACTCATTCCCAAGGCCATGACTTGGCAAAGCTATCCGTGTGACTTCGACATTTTGAGAAAAGCAGACGCTTGTGAACGCTGATAGAAGACGGCGTTGACTGCTAAATTCAAATAAATTGGCGATCTTGAAATACTAAAATAAATCTCAAAAAGCTACGGCGCGATGACTTCCATTATAATTCACTCACACCATTGCAGTGTTGTGGGTGTGTTCACATGGCGTGAGCCAGTCAAGTGTCAGTCAGTTCGGCAGGAAGCGCGAGCTCCAACAACAAGTCGTTTGGTGCAGCCATCTTCTTTGTCTTGTACCAGCTTGATCAAAACAATGAAAAAAAGTTTGACTTGAGGATAGGTGGGGATTTGAACTCACAACTTCATGGTCGGTCAGCAGACAGCATTCATAACCATGATAACCACAAGGCCAAAAAGGAAAGGATAAATCGTGGGTTTTGATAAAAAATCGATACTGGTTTCCTGGGCAAATTGTAAACCATGGGAAAAGGCCGGAAACCTGGCCGAAATTCTAACTCCTTAACGGTTGGTCCAATTGTTCCGAAACCTTCACAGAACAATTTGCCGTGTCCTAACAAGCCATTCTATGTACTTTGTTGTCAAAATTTCCCTTATCTTCATACTTTTTAAGACCCAAACCTGATTGTAAATCTTTTTGAAACAGACTATAGTAAATTATGTGAATGTTGACGTCCCCCAGGTCAGTCATCATGTGTATGCCCCTAAAATCGATAGAGAAATGTTACAAAGTGGTAAGCCTCGAAGTTCCAAACTCATGGTGTTGATATGTGGTTGGGAAATGTCTTTTGTATTCGATATATCCATTCGACTTTCGTTTATCAGGAGTATTCAACAGCGACTATAGTCGAGGGGCAAGGATGGCCAATAACTCCCATTTTTCTCTATTTTCGTTGCTGTTGGCCACCTTGGTATCCGTCCCTACCACTCCTATTTCGATAGAACGTCTCACGACAATATTATTATACTGATGAGCTTCCTAGGAGGGCGATTGCAGTGAGATGAATTTTGAATAGATTAGCACAATTTCTGAATATTCGTATCACCTATGTAGCCGAGATGTGGTCGATTCAAATGCTGCTTGCCGTAGCAACACTCGGAAAACTAGTGCCTGTACCTTGCCAATGTGTTTTTACAGGTCTGTGAAGGACATTCCCGGGTGTAGACCGTTCTATGTTACATACCGGTAATAGTACCGGTACACCTACTTTCATGGCCTCAAAAACACCCTCGCTGCAGGATAATATTTTGTACCTTTAGAGATATCGAAGTAGATTAGGCAATGCTTTCCGAGCAGATCCCGGAGAATGGGTGTCATTGTTCTCTGGAAAGTGGCTGGTGCGTTGGAGAGACAGAACGGCATACGGCGGAAATGGTACAAACCATTCCTGGTGACGAACACCGTGTATTGCTTGGAATCGGCGGCCATGGGAACTTGCCAGTACCCGGATCGGAGATCCAGGGTAGAAAAATAGGTACACCCTGCGAGGGCGTTGAGCGTGTCGTCGATACGTGGGAGAGGAAAGCTGTCCTTCCGAGTGATGGCACTCAGGCGCCGGTAATCAACGCAGAACCGTTTTGATCCATCAAACTTTGGTGCGAGTACTACTGGGCTGGCGTACGGTGACGAACTTTCTTCGATGATACCATGGTCCAACATGTCGGTGACCATTGTGTCGATGAGGTTGGCTTGTTGTGGGTCTAGGCGGCGTGGTGCGTGACCGATTGGTGTAGATTGTGTGAGTATGATCGTGTGATGACCTGATGTGGCGCAGCCAACATCTGCGGGGTGTTGAGCACTGTGTCCCAGAATGATTCGAGCAAGTGAATAATGTCGTGGCGTTCAGAGGTCGTGCCAGCAAAATCTTGCCATTGGAATAATTCATGTACCGGTGTGTAATGCGGTGTGTCATGTGTTGTGGGGACTGGAGAAGTGGTTTGTGGTGGGTGTGCAGAGGGAACGGCGCAAGCTGGTGTAAGAGCCGGTGTGGTGAATGAAGACGTGGGTGGTTCGCTTTTGATGTGGGATGATGTTGATGTGGTAGGTGTGTGGAGGGTGTATTTCTGGTCGGCGTAGATCATGCATGGAGGAAATGTGAAGGCGAGGGTGATGTGGTGGTCTACCAGGGAGTTGGCACCGAGGATTAGCGACTCTGTTATAGGCCTTGGCGGATAATGCTCGAAAAGGTGGCAGATTCTGCTCGAAAAGCAGTGAAATTGGCAGAACCATACAAACCTTATGGCGGGCAATTCCTCGAATTCTGCTCCATTTCTTTATCCACATACCAAACATGCATGAAACTTACCAGAAAAAGTACCGAATTCTGCCAATTTTTCCGCCGGCATTATCCGCCAAGGCCTACTCTGTTATGCCTTTAACAACCAAAGCAGTTATGTCGAGGGGTGTGCCATCGGGCAGGTGCGTGTTCAGAACTAGTTGACCACGGACGGGGATCTGAGCACCCGTAGCTGAGACCAGACGGACAGTGGACGAGCGCGACGTCATGTTGTCCAGAGGGAAGTGGATGGTTGCGAGGAATGAGAGTGAAACGATCGAGACCGAGGTATCGATAAAGGCAGTGACCGGAACTTGTGCTTGGGTAGGTGTAACTGTAGGCCACCTGAGGTGTAAGGGAACGTAAAATGCAGTATGGGTAGTGCACGTTGCTATGGGAAGTGCGTGCGTCGTGGGTGCTGACTGCAGAGCGAGCATGTTGAGTGGTACATGTGGAGACGGAGCACGCGGAGGCTTTGGTGTCGGTGTAGGTTCGGTGTGTGTGGATGATGCCATCGGGTCAATGATGGGCGTGCGTGTATACAGGATACGGAAACAATCACTAACAAGCACAATTAGGTTTGAGAAGAACAACGGATCAGGCAGAGAACGACTGCTTGAGAAACCACACTGAGGCAAGTCACAATGGTCGTGCACAAGAGGACTAAAAGCGGTGATATGCAACAAGCTGTAGGGGACTCCTTTGTCAGGTGTGGGGATGCAGAATTCTGAGAGGTAGAACTGCTGCTAGAACTAGCAGTTAGGGGGCAATGTTCGCTTGGAGAGTTCGGACAATGGCATGCACAGGACGTATCCAGCATGGCACAAGAAATACTAGGCTGGCCCTGATCAATGGAAATATCCAAACTATCCCTATTATATCCTGGGTGGGCGATGGAGGACAGTACAGGAGGAGGTGGGAGATGCAGAACTAGTGGCAAGCGCGTGACCCGTCGCACTCGCAGCAGTTAGGTTAAACGGCGTGACATGTTAGGCCTTCCGGGACCCTGTTTACCCTGGGGTTTGTGTTGCCCTTCCTGAAAGTGATTCCGAGGAGGTCGCGGCCCATAGTGTGAATGCATGGGTGGACGCTGTGGGTATTGAGCATGTTGAAAATGAGGTGCGCGTTGAAACTGTGGAGGCCTGGACCAACAATTGTCACCAGTGTGACCGGGTTTGGAGCAAAACTCACAAATGTTTCGTCGTGGCGCAGACTCGTTCGGCGCCTCACGGCGTGTGCGACACTGTTCAGTTTCAAGTCGGCCTAGCCTATCCGAGATATCTCGCAACATTTTCCGAAGCTCTTCGCGCTCTTCGCGTTCACTGCTGGGACTAGCCAGCGCGGCTGCCGTAACGGTTTGCGGCGGCCACGGTGCGCTGGAGGTTGGCCTCCACGACCAAAGCGCGGCGAAATGCTGCACTTCACGTAGCCAGTTCCGCGTCCAGCACGCGGAGACGCAGATCTGCCTCCAAGGAGTCAATGAATGCATCTTTGGCAAGCTCCTGTATCATGTCATCTGCGGCGTCGGGGTAAGCCCGACAGGCAGTGATGTGAATATCTTCAGCAAGAGAGTGTAGTGCTTCCGTTGGTTGACGGCGCCGCATTCTTAGCTGGGCTCGCTTTACCGACCGAAATTCTGGCGGCAAAAATCATGTTAGCAGTTCCGTCCGTAGGCGCTCGTAGCTGGACAAAATGTCGTCTGGAAGTGTTAACAGAATGCGTGCCGCCCTGCCTTTTAATGAGCGCTGGAGCATGATGTGTCGCATGTTTTTGCGTTCATCTTCCCCGTAATCCTGGTCCGGTTCGGGCCAATCGTTTGCCGCACAGGCCAAATCGAACTCGAAAAGAAATTGGCCCATGTCCTCCAGTGGCGTGCCCAGGATTTGGCTGAGGGGGGGGGGGGGGGGTTGCGGCCGGGATGGGGTGGGGGTAGACATCATGCTACTCTCCCAGGTCAGCCAAGTCAAGAAGCCGTAAATCTCACACACCACGAGCAGTATTTATGTACACAGTTACATTGTACATTGTACACTTCAAATTACAATTCTTTTCAAATACAGTGCGTATCGGTTATAGCGTGGTCGTGTAAAAGAATATACTGCCTACAAGAATGAACCCTCCTGTTTTCATAATCATAACATGGATTTCAAGTGCACATTTATTCTTACAAGCAGTTTTATCCCATACTAGAATTATATTGGCCCTAAGAATGGACTTTGTGTAGCGAAACATGCCAGATTAGTACTAAGTGTATCGCCTGTAGTAATAACATCTGTCCAATTCCGTTCTGATGAGACTCTCGTTGCGTCGTAGTGCTGCAGATTCAACTGTTGTGGCCATGTAACTCATTTTGCATAGCCACATGGTAAGCCTATGGGACTATGACCAGGCACATGCACAGAAGTACTGCGTTGCATGTACGATAATCTTCCTGCCCCTGCGCACATGCATTATGATATGCCACACTAGCTGTCTTGATTTATCGTGTGTAAGAAATATCTGAAATAAGAATAGAAAGTCGTTTTTCAAACACCCACGCTATAACCGATACCTACTGTACATGTACATCCATTTTCAACCTCATATCTTATCCCTTTTTGATATCAATATTGCTCGTAGTGAACGCAGACCGAACAAGCTTGTTTTCAACTCTCATGGGAAATTTCCATCTTCCCTTTTCTTACATAAAATCGGCAAATAATATTATCCTTCCACCCAAAATTACCGCTATAGATTCTGTTTCAGAATTTCGGGCACAATTTTGCGCTCATTATAAACAGCATAATGCCTGCACAAGTCGCTTCACTATTATAAATTAATGATCATTCTGACTGTTAGGAGATCGTCCAACAATTTCTCACCGCTCAAAGCATCCTTTACATAGGCAGCGGTACTAGAGTCTACGTCCACTTGTCACTGTGCGCTGTTCTTCATGTTCTGGCTCCTCGCTGACAACAGGTGCTTCCACGTCTGGCGGAGTGTGACTGTCAGCCCGCTCCGAAAGTTCAACTGGAATAACAGCGACTTCATCACTCCCACTGTTTCCTGTTGGAGCGGCAGCAGGAGTTGCGCCGCCAGAGGAACGCTTCACAAAAAATCCAGGCTCTGCTGGCTAGAGCTTGGCCTTTGGGAATGTCGCTGAGACATCGGAGTAAAGTCTTCGAGTCAACCAAAACACGGTTCAAACGAGGATGATCGCCTGATCAGCTGAGCCCTCGGCATTCGAATCGTGTTTTGGTTGACTCGTAGTCAGGCCACCGTGTTTCTGTACTACTGTAGCCGTGCATGCGCACTGGCTGTACTCTGCTAGACTGTACGTATCTTGACTGAGTACGAGGTCAATATAGGAAATAAAAGCCGAGTAAAAGACCGAGGCGAAGCCGAGGTCTTTTACGAGGTTTTATTTCCTATACTGACCAAGTACGAAGTCAATATTAGATTAAATTTTATCACGACAAACAGTCCAGTCCTCATGAATCCCGGTTTTATGATTGCACAACCGTTGCACCACTACCTACTCATGCAATGCTGCACTAGGCACCGTTCAACTGCGCAACCCCTAAGCAGTCAAATATAAGCAGTCAGTATAGCCTAGGAGTGAAATATGCAGGAATATTTTGACTGCTTAGGTATAGCGAAAATCAATGGGAGTCAATACTAAGGGAGTGATAAGAGCCTGTACAGTAAGATCGGGCGCCGAAGAACACCTCGCCGAAGAACACCCAGGCTGGAAAACCGGCCAAATTTAAGAACAGTCCAGGCTAGAATTATCAGATTTAAGAACACTTTTAAAACTTGGAACATTGTACATGTATGGGAGGTGAGTACATGTCATGTACACGTGTAAACAGTAACTGCTACATATACAGTCATTCCCATTTACGACACCCACTAGTTTAGAAGTACTACATTGCACTACATGTACAGTCATGTACATGTACATGTACATGACAAACGTCATGACGGCACTCGACTCGCCGCGCGCGTGTGAATAAGAACGGTCTGGCTAGAATCAAAAATTTAAGAACTGTCCTAGGCTGCGCTCGAGCCCCTGCGTTCTTCGGCGCCCGATCTTACTGTAGTGTAGTGTGGTCTGTAGACAGTACTCTGGACTGGAGACTGTAGTGTGTACAATCAACACCAGCTCGAGCACCGAACCGCGCGTGCAACCGCTTTTGGACGATCGTTTCAGGCCGCGCGCGCCCCGAGCCTAGCCTAGCTAGCCCCGGCGCCCTGCCTTTTATTTTTCGAAACCAAGGTCGAAACTTTTGAGGGGGGGGCGCGCGCCCCCCGCGCCCCCTCCCCCCTAAACCCGCCACTGTCCTCATCCGGGGTCCCCGAAAACGTCGGCGGTTTGACTAGTGACGCGGCCATGGTATGTGTGTGTGTGTGTGTGTGTGTGTGTGTGTGTGTGTGTGTGTGTGTGTGTGTGTGTGTGTGTGTGTGTGTGTGTGTGTGTGTGTGTGTGTGTGTGTGTGTAGATTGCGTTCAGAGGGAGCTATGGAGGTAACTACTGTAAATATACAAAATTTCGGCGCTGCAAAATTTCGGCACTTCACGATTTTTGACATTTCGGCGGCGATTTATTTTCGGCGTGGGGTAGAGGGCATGGTGTAGTGCGCGCGACACTGCCAGATGCTGTGAAAAATTTCATCGGCGTTTTAATTTAGGCGTTTTGGGTCGGTGCCGAATATAGCCGAAATAAAATAGCTGCCGAAAATGTGTATATTTACAGTACTTGAAGTAAGGGTAGAGCGCTACGCAAGACAGTCGAAAGAAACGAAGTGGCGACTTACCTGGCGCACGGGAAGACGAAGCGCAACAACCAGGGCAGATGCTTGCACAGCACAGCAATCGGGAATCTCAGGGTCGTGGTATTCGTGAACCACTGTTGGGCGCCAAATGTTATGTTCTCTCACACGGTAACTCAGTAGACACACAGTTAGAAGATTTGGATAGGACTGAAGTCACAAGCAAAAGTACTAAGAGTAAGACTGAGAGCAAGACACACTGAATAAGATTGACTGAATGAACTGAACGGAACTGAACTAGACAAAGCAAACGCCGGTTTACAGCCAGCGATAAGAGTTCCAAGAAGTAACAGAAACAACGAGGCGTGTCATGCATAACTACTAGAAATCGCCTTTGAATGCGTGTAAGAGAAACAGTGTTAGAATAGTGTCGTGGGAAATACTCGGAAGACAATTAAGACAGACGAATGGAAGAACGAGCTATAGCGTGGGGAATTACGTAAAGCGAGTATAAGCGAGAGATTTGTAATGTACAGTGAAAGACGTTAGAATGCTAACATTAGGTACTAGGTTCATGTATCACAGTCAGTTTACACACGTGTAGAATACTACGTTAGCAAGGCAGGGATATTACTATTACACTACACTGTACAGTGGTTGCGCGTGCGGGGGAAAGAAACACTAAAGTACAATGCATGCGTAGTGTTCAAGAACTACAATGTAACTACGTAGTACTGGTACAGGAGGTTGCGACTTGCGTGACTACTGTACCAGTGACAGTCAGGGATACTACAATGTGCACTACAGATGTAATACAGTTACTCAGATGTAATACAGTTATGTACTTGTAGATGTAATGCAGTTGCTGAGTTATGTAGATGTAATACAGTTATGTACATGTTATACCAAGAGTACATAACCCTCCTCTTGCCTCTTGGTCATACCAAGAGTACAATCATAACCCCCCCCCCCCCAGAGTGTGCAACGCCGACCCAGCTCTGCATACAGTAAGATCGAGCGCCGAAGAACACCTCGCCGGCGCCGAAGAACACCCATGCTGGAAAACCGGCAAAATTTAAGAACAGTCCAAGCCAGAATTATCAGATTGAAGAACACTTTTAAAATTTGGAATTTCCACATGAGTGCAGTATTTAACTGAGTTACGACTACATGTACGTTGTCATACTCAATCTGCGGACAGCATGCTGTTTCGTTCTTTTTGAACTCATCAGCGCAGCACAGAGAAAATGAGGCCGAACCTGATAGCAATGGAAATAAAAATTTCCAATCAGGCCCGAACGTACATGTACCTTGCCAGAGTGCTCAAACTGACAAGTCAGTGAGCATACATGTACTTACATGAAGTTGCGAATTTACACGTAGATCTACATTGTACATGTATGGGAGGTGAGTACATGTCATGTACACGTGTAAACAGTAACTGCTACATGTACAGTCATTCCCATTTACGACACCCACTAGTTTAGAAGTACTACATTGCATGCACCACATGTACATGTACATGTACATGACAAACGTCATGACGTCACTCGACTCGCCGCGCGCGTGTGAATAAGAACGGTCTGGCTAGAAGTAGAATCAAATTTTTTTAAAGAACTTTCCTAGGCTGCGCTCGAGCCCCTGCGTTCTTCGGCGCCCGATCTTACTGTAGGGTCTTGGTCGAGCGGAATCGGATCTTCTGATGTCATGCGTACACTCCACAACAGCGCAAGGCCGGTCTCGAGGCAGGGCACCATTGTTTTTGATCCGAGAGTACCCGCGACTCCCCGGGTTCCCCTCAGATGTGTACGGTATTATGACGCAAAGATCCGATTCCGCTCGACCAAGTCACCAAGACCCTATGCAGAGCTGGATCAGGCGTTGCACATTCTGGGGGGTTATGTACTCTTGCCTGAGTCTTGGTACTCTTGGTTATACTCATCTAATCTAATTTGGAAGTACATAAAGACTGTATGTAGCAATGGCATTACATGTATGTAGTCAGGTAACTGTAGCATTAGTGCTAAAGGTGTTACATGTCTACAGTCGAAATGGAGATCAGACATTGTTTATGGATGAGTTTATTGTTGACTGGAGACAGAAGCGGACTTGGCTTAATTTCAGTGTATTCTCATGCATTGTTCTTTGGCCTTTGTACGCGTGCTGTGGTATTATTATTATTATCCACTATGAAACTCGTTATGCTCAAACCTCACAATCATAAATTCATAATGCTCGTCTTGTTCCTTTCTAATGCTCCAGAATGCTCTGATGCTCGGATAGTCTCATAAGTATCTAATATAATGCCGGCATTATCCGCCGGACACTAGGCCTGAGCCTGAGGGCCTAGGGCTAGCCCGGACCATTCGCAGAAAACAAAAATTAATAATAATTATCTGCTGGGATGACGACTACACCATAGCTCAGTGGTTAGAGCATCGCTAGCTACAAGCGAGGGTCCCTGGTTCGAGTCCTGGTGGTGACAGTCAATTTTTTCTTCAGACTTTTCCCGTTTGTCTCTTTCCCTCAAACTAGTGAAAATAATTATTTAATTAATTAAAGAGTCGGCGTGGAGAAAGCAATTTTATTAGTGCAATTAGGAGTATAATCGATGCAGACATGGCCAGACAACAACGAGTTCATGGAATTTTTAAGGATTTTTATGTTATTCAAAATCGATTTTCGTGTTCCGCTCATCAGTGAATAGTATCGGAACTGAGGGTACTGTGTACAAAAATAGAACATTTTATAACAGCATAATTAATTAAAAGTGTGAAAAAAATTGTTTTCATTCTTTTTTACCCAAGCTCAAGTGATGAGGATCGAATTATTTCCCGACACACTGTGTAGCTGGGACGTGGGAGTGGTGCTTTCTTGTGCGCTCTGGCTGGCAGTCGTGAGTCAGTCAAGTGAAATGCCAGGTCGGGTAGGAAGTGCGAGCTGTGCGCGACGTGGCCGACGTCCGGAGCAGCCGCACGATCTTCTTCACAAATTAGCGCCGATGTTGCAAAATCTTAGTTTCAGCTGCAAGATTGTATGCAGGCTGGCACCATGTTATTGGCAGAGCAGGGAGGTGTTCGATGACCTGGCACCTCTTTCCACTACTATTGGCTATAAAGCATCCGAGCATTGCATCATTATCGTCATGTTAGAGAAGTAATACAAGTCGTTAGTTGGCAAGCTCCATCGTCAGGAGCAGCCACCAGTCCCCTCTTCTACAATTACTGCCGAAGTTGGGCCAAATACCGGTATATACACCTAAAATAGCAAGTCATTTCATTGCTTCATTTCAATGCTTCCTATAATCGTTGCGTACAATCGAGAGTCTGTAAATGTCAGACCAAGGTTGACGAATCCTGCAGGGACGAAACTCGAGAGGCGATCCAAGCCGTTGCCTACTACACACTCACTGCATCGTTATGCCTGCATGCAACACGCCAAGACTGATGCCCCAGGCTACCAAGGCTACCATACCAAGCAAGATCTCGCCAACCATCGACCGCAGGCGCGATGCGGGAACTGATGGCGAAGCACTGAAGGTAAGAGGAGATAGGACGTGCAAGATGTGATAGAAAATAATGTTCTGCAGTTAGATAAACATAGGATAATTATTATGTGCCGTGTGTTGACCGCCATTTGGTGGACTATAAAAATTTAATTTTTTCACCCTCTTTAGCATTGGACCTCACTGATTTCCCTGGTGCGTTAAGCGGGATTCACAGAAGCTTTTTTGCGATGCGACACGCGATGCGACGCGATCTGCGACGGACGCGTGCGATGCCAACTCGCGAAATACCATTCACAGAAGAAGTCAGTGCTGCGACAACATCTTGCTGATTTGGCTACGTCACCATGATATTCCCGCGGTTTGATACAACTTGTACAAATTCATAGGCAACTCTTGAACCTTTGTACAACTTTGCTGTAGAAAAGGTGAAAATCGTACGCCAAATCGTTTGTCGCATCGCATCGCAAAAGTTGAGCCAAGCTCAACTTCTGCGATGGCCCTATTGCGGCAGTTGCGTGGGGTCCGCGATGGTTGCGATTTGGGGATTTCCCGGTTTCGCGGCTGTCGCATCGCGTGTCGCATCGCAAAAAACCTTCTGTGAATCCCGCTTAAGGCTGTCATCACACCATGGTACAAAGCACGGCGTCTACGTCCACGTATTAGGAGTTTTTGGTCGGTTGTCATGATGATCCGTATACGGGGTGAAAACGGGAGCAGAGGAAACGGGAGACGTGGACGTGGTATGGAGGGGGGGGGGGGGTATACGACTTTTTGTATGAACGTGCGTATCTCCCCCAGCCTTTTTCCGAGCGACCCTGTGCTTCGATGTATGTGCGTTCAAATTTCTCCAAAAACCTGACTGCGTGTACGCGTCAAGAACTGTGCCTGTCTGATGACACGACCACCCGTTTTGGTTTTTTCACCATAGACGTAGACATAAACGGGAGTCGGAGAACACAGTGTGATAACGGCGTAAGCGCTCAAATACTAGTATATTGCATATTGTCTGCTTGTAGTTACCTCCTTTTAGAGAAGACGATAAAATAGATCATAGACCTCGTACAGTTGATTCCTGATAATTATAGCGGGCACCGTTGTGCAAGAGAAATAGGCTGCATTCGTTTTTTGTCTACTCGGTAAGAGTATACTACAGTAGATATTGGAAAATGAAAAGACGGTGGACGGTAGTTTACAAACGTATCGGAAGAACGTCAATGCTACAGTACGATGTGCGATAATTTTCCCGAAAGCAGCTCTCAGCTCATTCTCCACGCAACTACAGAAACACCGTACCTCTACCAACTTCTATTGTCTCCCACCCACATTGACTTCGGAATCTTCTGTCCATGTATTCAAGAGAGAGCTGCGCAAACATTCTTGTCAGTATTCAGGTCTACTTGATGTTTATTCGTCCCAGAGGTGCCTTTGACGCTGCTCCGTCACTCGTCACCTGCAACAACAGTGTTCTGCAAGTCACACACGTGGCAAAATACCTCGGTGTGTTGATTGATGACCAGCTAACTTGGGCACCCCACATCGAGTTTCTGGCGAAAAAATTGGCGGCGACCACTGGACAGCTTTGGAGGCATGGCCGGGCCTTGTCACTGAAAGCACGTCGAGTGTGGTATATGTCTATGATACTATCTCATCTCTGTTACGCCTTTAATTGCTTCTTTCCGGCGCTTTCACGGTCTCTGCTAAATTGCCTTGTAAAACTGCATAAGTCTGGTATTCGTGCTGTGTTTCAGGCTCCCCGCCGCACTGCAACAGCTCCCTTGCTTGCTAAGTTATCCATGCCATCACTTCACCAAGTCCTTTTACAGAAGCTGCTTGTATTTGTTTTCCGGTCTATACACGGATCTGCAAGCTCTCTCTCTTTCAAGATTATTTTGTATTACTTGCCCAGCCTCAGATACCACTTGCTGATCGTATAGTCACCCGTGGGCAGCTGCATAATTTACTTCGCATCCCATTCCTACCCAATCCTGCTGGGAGATGTTCTATCCAATTTCTGGGTAGCACC